TCCTGATGCTGAGCCCCGAAAGTTGCAGCGCGTTGACGTGAGGGGCTGGCGGCCAACGTATGGGCCTACCGTCTTCACCGGAATAGAACGCCCGGTCATTATTGCTGCATTTGGTGCAACTTTCAGTCCAGATACGGTGATACTTACCGGGCGTTCTATTCGGGTGAAGACGTCGGTACTGGTCGTTTAACTTGCTATTCAAGAGTCAAGACTAACTTCATAATAATCAGATTGCTGTTCCACGTCTACAGTTGAAGACAGCAGCAGCAGGTCCAGGTCCAAACACATTAGCAGGCTTACCTTGTACTTCAGATATTCTGGCGTCAATGACAATGCGTTCAGAAGATGAACCCTCTCCTGCCAATACAGTGAAGTGAAACAGACATCAAGAACGACAAACGAGCAAAACCAATAAGCAAAACAACAAAACAAATGAGAAGAGAAAGACTAGGAACACAGCGCATGGTCACTTGCAGACAAGAGGATAATGTTAATACAGACTGAGAACACTGCTGATTTCTGAAGTTCTGTCGATGGAATGGATGCCTTGCTGAGATTCCTGCATTCTGCTGTGTTTTCTAAGTCTGTATGTGTGCGTGCCTGTTGACTTGCGTGCCTGTCTGAGTGCTTGTTGGCACGAGTGTGTGTGTGACCCGTAAGGGTATTTGCTTGTTTGGCAGGCCCGTAGGGCTGGTACTTACCTGTGGCCGTGGCATTGAGGGTTCCAGCAGGGAAAACACTCAAGTAGCGGAGCCAGGGGCCCGCGGTGCTTAGAGCAGCGGAAAAACACTCAAGTAGCAGGCAGGCCGGTACCGCACCCAGTAGCAGTAGATGTGCCGGGTACTCGAGCCGAGCAGAAGAAGACAAAGTTGGCATTTTTAGAGGCCCAGTAGCGGTAGGCTAGGTCTAGGCCGGTACCAGTTCATCCAGTCTGAGTTTAGAGCCTGTGCGGGCAATATCAGAGTCTGCAATGATGTTTCCCTCCGAAAGGGAGGAGGTACCAGTTGCTTGGGAGGCCGAGCGGCCTGGAAG